TTTTTGCGATCCTGCCCCTGCACAAGTACCACAATTCCCTACCATTCTTATGTAGCATAGCCAGTCAATGCGCTTGTCTTAAATTTTGGTCTACACAGTTCGAGTTGGTCACGTTGTCCTGCAAATGGCAAAAGTTAGAAGAATGAATTTACTAAAGACGACAAGGAATTCGAAGCAAAAAAGCTCGCGAATCGGATCTGTCATAGTATCGCTCAAAACTACCACTGATCTGTGAAAGAGGAGGGTGTCGTGTCTTTCATAGTTAGGGTACAGTTGACAATGGAATGATTATATTCTTAATTCGATGCTTTCCTCATCGTACCATGAGAGCAGCATTCATTGCACTGTGCGAACAGTTCGCAGTCTTGCTTTAAAAGTGCTAAGCCGTCACTTCGACGCTTTCTTGTAAAAGCACGGTGGGGCAAGACTAGAATGTTACGTACGCTATCTTAGTTATCCTAGTTCGATACAACTCAGATTATACTTTGACCTCACAGTAATCGGCGTCGAATCGTGCCGGCCGCAGTATGCCCGCCATTCCTCACGGTTTCGAGCTTTTTCCCTCCAGATGGTCTACCCGGTTCCCAGTATAATCTTCCCGCCGTGGTGGTGGGCGACCAAGCGGCTTAGTTTTATGTGCGGATAGGAAACCAATGATCCACATTTATTGCCTATTTCTGTTGTCGATGGCGACAAATGCAATTACTGAGGATATGCAGGAAGCAGCCCATTCTGCATGCTCTATGCAGAAGACATTGCGCTGTGAAACGGAAACAGAGGAGCAGTAGAAGCAAAAACCGAGCCATGGAAAACGGCCCTTGAGAAGAACGGTCTTCGACTCAACAATGGCAACTCAGAATCTATGGCGGGCTATCTCAGTGGGGAAAACAGATTGAACGCCGTCAAACCAGTGAAAATAGCGGAGAACTTGCTGCCTCAAACCCAAGAATTCAACTATCTTAGTTCCATCATGCATGATATTTCGGAGATCGACGGCGAGATAAGAAATTAGTCTAGGAAAGTTTGGATGAAATGGAGAGAAGTGAGGGAGTACTGCGCGACAAGAAGATACCTGGAAACTGAAAGGGAAGATCTGCAGAATGGTAGTAAGACCT